TTGAGTGACATATCACTTCTATACTAACCTACACTACTTGGTTTGAGTGACATATCACTTCTATACTAACCTACACTACTTTGTTTGAGTGACAGCACACTTCTATACTTACCTACACTACTTGGTTTGAGTGACATATCACTTCTATACTAACCTACACTACTTTGTTTGAGTGAACTGATTAAATTAGTGCTTGTACCATTCCCTTTTCTGATTACTTCAAGAACAGTTTGAGCTTCTTTTAACCTAAATAAAATCAATTTTAAGTTTGAGTTTGAAATTGTCGAATTTATCACAGTTTTTTTTAAAAAGATTTTCTTTTGTTCTACGAAAAAGATTACATTTTACATTACACATGTGGAAAAATATTTATTTCAATTTTATAATTTAGATTTCAACAAATTCAATTCAAAAGATAAACTTAGTTTAAGTCAAATAATAAAAGAAAAGATAAAATAAATGCAAGTTCTATATTTTTTGAAAGCTTTCCACAACAGTTTTCTGTAAAGTTTATGCTAAGCGTTGAAAGGAAAAAATGGTAACAAAAATGAATTCGATTGTAAAAAAGTAAAAATTTTAAAAAAAGAATATTATTTAAAATGTTATAAAAAGAATGAAGTAACTGAACTAAATGATTAAAGGATTTGAATCTGTATTTTCAAAAACTAGTTTTTATTAAAATATTTTTTAGAATGTGATTAACAAAGAACGGCGAAAGGATTCGAATCTTTATTTTCAAACATCTGAACAATCTCTTCGTGTGAGCAAAAACTATAAAAATATTTACGTTTTAAATATAAAAAGTACAGCAAAGACAATGGGCGAGATTTACAGAATTCAACACTTTTTAAGATTGTTAAAGGGCAGCCGTAGTACATTTGAATTTCCGAGCCGGGTCAACCTTTCCGGTCCTAGTTTGAACTGTACCTAGCTCTATGGACAGGACTAGCCGGTGCAACAAGGTTGAAGCGGTCAGACTTTAAGCTTCATATAGGTTGAATTTACTTTTACTAAAAGGGCAGATTTGCGTGTGCGTTATTGTTTGATTAATGGGTTTAAAATAAAGGTATCGTTGTGAATATCAGATTCCATTATTTACTTAAAACTACGTGTATAGTCCCATTAAGTTCTGATTAACTGAAAATTTGATCATTTGCTTCTTCGGATTATATGTTAGATAGATTTATCAAAACTAATCTTTTCTCAGAAATCTCAAGAAAAAGGAAATAGAAATTGTAGAAATTCTTATTTTAATTAAACATTTCGAACGTATGTAACGTTTATGAAGACAAATATACTTTGAATTGATTTGGTTTGTTAGATTTAAAAAAAAAACTAATTTACCTATTAACATTGACAAGCCATCTAGGACTTTCAACTAAATACCAATTGACACCGAGGAAGGAACACCCTACAAATAATAAATATTTTTTTGCAATTTATATTTTTTAAGCAAATTAATCAACGAAAGATTTTAAAAATACATTTAAGGAAATGGGGTTTTGCCACAAACACTAATTTTCTACTTAGTTTATTTTTGCAACCTGATGTTGTAGACTTTTGATATTTCAAACTGTGAATTGTGAATTATCGCCGGCTTGAATCTTTGAAAATTGAATACAATTTTAAGTAAATCCAACAACATATCAGCCAAGTCTGAAATTTAAGCCGAAGCTCCATTTCTTAACATTCGGCCTCAGTTTTCAAAGATTGCTTTTGTACCTTGAAGGGACAGACAGGCTATGTAAGGTAGTTGAACTGAGTATGCAGTGCAGTCGACAAATTCTTCAGGATTCATTTGAGACATATAAAACCTTTTAAATATCTGTAAATTCTGAGTTTAAGCGGAAAGTCGACGTTCAAAATCGTACTTTTGGGTGGATATGTTTTCAGAATTTTTTTTTCTTCAAATTATAAAATAACGACGACAAAAAATGTAAACAAAATTCTACAGTAAATTAGTAAATTAGTTGTTTCGAAACAGGGTGAGAAAATAAAAGTTAATCCTATCATAGAAAATAAGTAATCTTATTCAATTTTTAGTTTCTATAATCTCTGATTATTTACTAATATTTTCTGCAGATTTTCTGGAATTTTTATTGAAAAGACGACATTTAAATTTGTAAAATCGACGAACAAATTCATAGAAAATAAGAAATTAAATATGATGACTAAAACGAAATAATTGATTCTAACATTGATCTATTGACCAATTTCTTTTCAGAAATATGTTCCTAAACATCTTTAATCAGTTTCCTGTATAATTTTTATTTTATTTTTCGTCCTCGTTATTTGATAATTTTTAAAAAACCGATTCTGAAAACGTTTCCATCCAAAATCATGATTTTGAAATTTTTTCTGCACTCAAACTCAGTAATTTTACATCGTGGAAACGTTTTATGTGTCTCAAATGAATCCTAAAGAATTTGTCCATAACACTGCATACTCAGTTTAACTACCTTACATAGCTGGTCTGTTCCTTTAAAGTGGACTTAAACGTACTTTTAAGCGACCCCCATTATAGTGACATGTTTGATTAACAATAGTTAAAAAGCGTTGTCTGATCAAGTATGAATTATGTATCCATTTTTTGTTTAATAACATTGATTATTTTCAAATTGTTTCTTTATACAAAAGTAATTTTCAGATTTCTTCTGTTATGGAAAAACAATGTACACGGTTATCAGAGCCTGTGATTTAAAAACTTCGGCTCGAGCCGTAATTCCTTAAACCCGACTTTAAGACCCAACTCTGACGACAGCAATTGTGTCACGTAATTGACAGTTGCAAGATCTTCGGCTCGACTTAAGAAGTTAGGCCCAATGAAAATAAAACCGACATTGGTTGGTTTTAGTGGAGAATACGGTTCAATGTTGAGTCTGCGCCAATTCCTACCATGAAAATCCGCTAAATAGAAAATTAAACCGTTTTTTTTAATTCAACTCTGTTAAATAAGATGCAGCTTGAATAAAATGATATTTTTTTCCTACCTATGATAGATACCATAATTGTAAACGATCGCCAATCCTACATAAATAATTTTCATATTCTATTATTTTATTTTATTTTATACTAGGACCAGATTTAATGAATAGCGAAGTTAAACCATGTGAACTGTTGGTTCAACAGTACTCAAGGTCAAGCTAAAGGGAAGTAGTTAAATGTAGTAAAAAAATGTCTCCTTTTTACTAAAGAGGGCAAATATATTCATTTGCAAATATATTCATTTTCCAATCTATGACAGTCTTCGAAAGTTGAAAAAGTTAAAATTAAAGCTAATTTTGACAAATCAAAAAAAGTAGCTGCTTTAAATTATATCCTAGGGTTTTCAGCTAAAAGGAAAAATCGTTTCGTTCGCTCACGAGAAACGCAAAAAATATAATGCGGAAATTTCGCAAAAAATGCAAAAATTTCTCGAAAAAATGGAAATTATGCCAAAAAACGGAAATTGCCCAAAAAAAAATTTAATGCAAATTTTAGAGAATACAGCTCATTTTCCGCGAGCCAAATTGATGGATAAACACAAAATGTTAAATGTTGCAGCTCTTAAGCTCATGGTTTTCACAAAATTTTCGCATTTTGCGAAAATATTTCACATTTTTGTCAAATTTTCGCATTTCGCGAAATTTTCGCATTTATAAGAAAAAATTACCGCGTAATTTCGCTTCATTTATGTTCGCGAACAAATTTGCGAAACGCGACCGAAAATTTTCGCTAAATGTTTTGCTCGCTGGAAACCCTATAATATTCTCTTTAATTTTTAGGATTAAGAAATAAAATGCAAGATTGTTATAATCACAGGAAACAATAATAACAATCAAAATTCACTTAGTAATTATATCCAGTAATTATATCCAGTAATTATATCAAGCATGAATGGATATAGAGGATAAAATCAAACATGAATGGATATAGAGGATAAAATCAAACATGAATGGATATAGAGGATAAAATCAAACATGAATGGATATAGAGGATAAAATCCATAAAATCCTTAAAATTTGATCATAATTCCTAATTTCTAAAAAATGTCCGTAATCTAGAAAATGCTTCAGGTCAATTGATTTAACAAATTAAATTTGGAAACAAAGGGAAGCTTGGATATGAAAATGTGTCCTATTGCCTGAATGATTACAGCTAGTCCGGTCATCAGCATTATTCCTATTTTAGAGATGGCCACGTTTTGCTTTTTTTATTTTCTTGCGGTCTTTTTTCAGTCATTCAGAAAAATATTGAATTCAATCTTTTAAACGTTCACTCATTATAAAATTGTACATTCAGTGAGATCATTCGTTAAGTGAGTTCGTTTATTCAGTGAGACCATTTGTTAAGTGAGTTCGTTTATTCAGCGAGATCGTTTGTTCAGCGAGATCGTTTGTTCAGTGAGTTCGTTTGTTCAGTGAGATCGTTTGTTCAGCAAGATCGTTCACTCAGTAAAATCCTTCATTCCGTAAAATTACTTGTTCAGTAAAATTGTTTAATCATTAAAAATGTTTTGAACAATTTTAAAAATTTTAATTTTAAACGAAAACGATGGCCATCTCTATACCTATTGGATAAGCTCCCATGACGGTTATCCCGTAAAGACCTCTGTACCTGGCTCCAACTAATTCACTGGGGCAGGTCAACATGTTAAAACCAGGTCAAATTGTTAAAACTTTGGTTAGAATCGAGGCTCCGATTTCAAAATCCTGCAAAACCAATGTATTGCAACAAAGTAACTCTGACGACAGCTTGTGTCACGTGATTGACAGCTGCAAGATTTTCGGCTCGATTCCAAACATGAAAATCCGTCAAATAGTATATTAAACCGGTTTTTTGAAATCAACTCTGTGGAAAATAAGATGCAGTTTGAATCCGAAAGCTCAAGATGTAAATAAGGCCCAACAACAGCTTGGACCCAAGCCATGATTTCCCGAATTTTTTAAATCATGAGCTCAGAAGGAGTTTTCTGTATTGACCTTCAGGTTGCGTGATCTTTCTCCCCTCTATTCGGTTTAATTTCGTGTAAAAATACATTTTATTTTCAAACAAATTGAATTGTCTAATTAATATATCTTTACAGCCTGCCGGTGTAAACTTTTCATATTTCAAGATATACCTATTTTTTCAGGCACAATTTCTAACTTGACATATCAAAGATCTGTTAAATCAGGCAAAAAATGAAGATTAGAAAAATTGAGTTTAAGGCGAGTAATAATTGTTCCTTTGTTAATAATTCAACACTGTATTTTAATATTGAAAACCCAACCATGAATCTGAAACAGGAGAATTTTAATATTGAAAAAAACCATGAATCTGAAACAGAAGAACAAAACAAGTTTGTTTATCTTGCAATAATGTAAACAGTGCAGTACAAAACCAGTTTTTTTACCTTGCAATAATGTAAACAGTGCAGTACAAAACAAGTGTGTTAACCTTGCAATAATGTAAACATTGCAGTACAAAACAAGTTTGGTTTACCTTGCAATAATGTAAACAGTGCAGTACAAAACCAGTTTGTTTACCTTGCAATAATGTAAACAGTGCAGTACAAAACCAATTTGTTTACCTTGCAATAATGTAAACAGTGCAGTACAAAACCAGTTTGTTTACCTTGCAAAAACATAAACACTGTATTCCGTGGTGATTGCTGAGATACCATTACAGACTAGGACTCCACAAAGAGTAATCAGTAAACTAGATTTTCTAAAAAAAAACATTTATTGTTTCTAGGTGATTTGAACAGAATTGATTAAAAAACTAATTTTCAAAATTAAGTAGCCAAATATGTTTTCTTCCTTGCTATTATCAGTTCTATATAAACTAGGGCAGGCATCAACAATGTAAAGATGTCAAAGCCTGTATCACAACAGTACCCTTGATACCTTTATCTGATCAATTACGTGGGAGATATGGTCGTTTTTATAGGTTTAATAGTGTTTAGGTTTGATAATTCTTTTCCTGCAGTGGAAAAGGAAAAGTCACTTTTACAGAGAAACCCTGGGTGAAATCAATTTTAAAAGTTCTAAATGTTGATATCTAATTATTTAAACGCTTTTAAGTGTACTGTTGTGAATCCGGTATTGTCATCTTTGTATGGAAGGTCACTTGAAATTACACTTTCAGCCTTGTATACCTTGTGCTAGTTAATGTTTCATGAAAATTTAAAAAAAATAAATGCGTTAAAACCCAGCAAACAAATTCACGGGGTTAACTCGACTTAAACTCGAGTTTTGCTCTCCAGTACATGAGGTTTTATGGTATTATTTTTTACCTTCCTATTTTATCAGCTAGAGCACCCAAAACTATGGCACCAATTAGGAATCCTAACATTAAGGTGGACATTGTAGCTTTCCCCATCCAGTTCCTAAACAAAATATTCTTCATTAGATTTAGGGGACTCAATGTCCAGTTTTATGTACACTGAAGAAATCCTCGCGGAATTTTTTAATATTTTCGCGGATTTCCTGAAATCCATAGAAAAATATTGTTTATATGTAAAACTTGACCTAGGGCCCTTTCTACAAGTTTATATTATAAGAAATTGGAGTGTTATATCTATAGGACAGCAGTGTATTGAGGACATACATACATTACTTGTAGCATTTTATACAGGATTGAATTTACAAATAATTTAACATTTTAGTTTGGATTTCTTTTACATATTAAAACTGCCGAATATTTATAAAAAAATCTTTTTTATAAACTTATAAAATATAGCTAAACATTACTCCTAATAATTTTCAAGAATAAAGTAGTTGTAAATTGGATTTTGATCAGTAATTTCAAAATTTATTAAAAGTGTTATTTGAATCGTCTCCAGCTTTCATATAAATTTTATGAATAAATTTTATGTTAGCCAAGGTTATGATGCAAGGAAAGTTATTTCGGAGGTGTACGCATATTTTGAACTGCAGTGTACTGTCTCTGGGCGGTATAATGTAAACACAAGACGGATATCACAGCCAGACATGGGATCCGTCATATGGAACTATTATGTGAATTATCAAAATTATCAAAATTTAATGCTTTTATCCTCCTCGGATACTAAACGAACACTAATGCATCTATTCTTGTTTCCGCCCAGAGAGAACTGTTTTCAATATGTACGCAGAGTATACGCAACTGCAATTAACTTTCCTTGCATTATAACCTTGATGCTAATTAACTTTTATTCCATAACACAGGAACCTGCTTACTTGACTCAAATTCTAGTTTTCTAAGTTCTATAACTTTGCAACCTGATGGGTGAACTATTTTATCTAGAAGAATGTATAGTTTGAAGTATCAAAAGACATCAGGTTGCAAAGATATAAGGATGTGCAAATTAGAGTTTTAACCGAGTAATTAGGTTTTTTAGCATTGTGCTTTGTGAACTTTGATATAATTAGTGTTATATTTTTTTCGGTTGGTTCTTGAAGCTCGCCATGCCTTCAGACCTTAACCAATTAAAAAACGAGAAAAAATTTCACCCAAAAAACGTGTATCCCAAAAACTACTATTTTCAGACCTGTCACAAACGAGATCCCACTCAGCTACAATAGTTCTCTCTTATACAATAGTTTTGATTATTTAAATATGAACTTACATAACTTAGAATGTAATTGTACAGTGAACTACATCATGTGAAATACTTGCAATAATGGAGCAGACTTATTTACAGAATTATTTTGAATAGCAAGTTGAGATATTGATGGATTTATTTTTAGGAAGCGTCAAATGAAAGTCAAAGGCAGTTCAATCTAAAAAAACATAAATATAATTTTGTTTTCAAATGTTTTAAGTTATTGCAATATTACTTTCAAATTTAGATGCCTTTGAAGTCATGATGAAAAATTGAAAAGACAGGGGGGAAATATATATTCTTCTTCGTAAAACTCTTAAATTCTTAAAGAACCTGTCAAATCATTCGTTGGGATGTTTAGAAAGATGAAAATTTCCCTGTATGATAATTGAAGGACTGCAGTATGGTTTTGGTGAATTATATTGACGTACTAAGCCTAGGGGTAAAAAAATTCTGAATCTGAATTTGTCTAGTGAAAAATATAGAGAACCTCGACATTTCGATGAGACTTCAGAGACGACTTACAGAATGTATTCTGTCTTTTTATTAAATGTATAAACTGTAAGCTTGCTTGGATTTTTTAATTATAACATTTAAAGTCTCGGGGCGGACACCCATGAGCTCATGTGATCGCTACATTTCAAGAGTTTCACGTCGTCCTAGTCTCCTTCCTTGAGGGAAACCCTTAAACATAAAAATAATCAAGACTATTCCTGAATAAGTTAGGTTTGTACAAACTGACACTTTGTTCTCAAAACAATGATTTTCAAGAACTTCTTCACCTCTAAAAATGTTAAAAAATATAAAAGGGAATATACACGATATTTTAAGTGAGTTTTCATTAATTGAGTGGCAGTGGCGGCCATAAGGGGGGTTATTGGGGTTATTTACCCCCCCCCC